CATGGTACTGGTAACAGTTACAATGGTTACTGGTAACAGTTACAATGGTTACTGGTAACAGTTACAATGGTTACTGGTAACAGTTACAATGGTTACTGGTAACAGTTACAAAGGTTACTGGTAACAGTTACAATGGTTACTGGTAACAGTTACAATGGTTACTGGTAACAGTTACAATGGTTACTGGTACACAGTTACAATGGTTACTGGTAACATACAATTGGTTTTAGGACTGTAACATGGTTCAGGTAAAAGAAAAAGGTAATGGTAAGTTAATGGTTACTGGAACAGTTCAATGGTTACTGGTAACAGTTACAATGGTTACTGGTAACAGTTACAATGGTTACTGGTAACAGTTACAATGGTTACTGGTAACAGTTACAATGGTTACTGGTAACAGTTACAATGGTTACTGGTAACAGTTACTATGGTTACTGTAATACTGTTAACAGTTAGTCTATTTAAGGTAAACTGGTAGCTGTAGAAAATGTTTCACCCAAGCTACATGCAGAAGTGTTGGAGATGACTTTCAGTTCTCAGTGGACAACTTCAAAATACTCACTTTTATAAAATACTGTTTTCAGAAAGGTGCAATATTTTGCAGCACAGTCCATATTAGTCCTGATTATTATAGGACTATATTATATTATAAATATTATATATATTATATACTAGTGTAAGATATATTCACCTTCTGTCAAAACACAGGGTGTGAGGTAGTTTTATTTGCTGGCCCTGATTGAACTATTGCCATGGTTACTGTACACACCTGTACACTGTACAGGCTACGTAGGTAGACTTAGTCAACATAGGCACTGTTCATTGCACTGGCACTGTTTCATTGCACTGGCACCGTTTCATTGCACTGGCACTGTTTCATTGCACTGGCACTGTTTCATTGCACTGGCACCGTTTCATTGCACTGGCACTGTTTCATTGCACTGGCACTGTTTCATTGCACTGGCACAGCGACACTAACCATATCGACAATAGCTCACTTATTGGGTAATTAGATTCTGCACATCCAATTATTCATGGTTTTATGTGATTAGCTTGAAGGTTGAAGACTGTAAGTCTGAGTGAATATTACTAAGTTACTATATAACATATATTATATATATATAATATATGTATATAACTACTTCTGTGAGTAAAGCTTCAGCAAGGCCTGCAGGATAACTGGTTATATATATTATTATATAATATATATAGTATACCTAGTACCTATAGTAATACCTTTCACCTGATAATGAGGGTAAACTACTAGTAGTGGGCTGAAGTAGTGTGCTCTGGTGCACCTGTATTTTGCATAGTTGCATTGCAGCATTGCTAATTACTGCATCTTTACTGCATTGCAACATTACTAATTACTGCAACATTGTACATGAACACGGCCATGTTGCTATGGTACCTGGTTGCTATGGTACCTGGTTGCTATGGTACCTGGTCACGAAGAGGTACTACCTTACTGCCCTAATCCAGTTAGCTGTATGAATGGAACTCTTACCCAACACAGACAATAGTAGACTATACCGTGTGACAGTCACATTGTCACTGACTGTGTGAGTATTATTATATAACACGCGTGACAATAGTAGACTATACCGTGTGACAGTCACATTGTCACTGACTGTGTGAGTATTATTATATAACACGCGTGACAATAGTAGACAATACCGTGTGACAGTCACATTGTCACTGACTGTGTGAGTATTATTATATATAACACGCGTGACAATAGTAGACTATACCGTGTGACAGTCACATTGTCACTGACTGTGTGAGTATTATTATATAACACACGTGACAATAGTAGACTATACCGTGTGACAGTCACATTGTCACTGACTGTGTGAGTATTATTATATAACACGCGTGAGACCGTGTGACAGTCACATTGTCACTGACTGTGTGAGTATTATTATATAACACACGTGACAATAGTAGACTATACCGTGTGACAGTCACATTGTCACTGACTGTGTGAGTATTATTATATAACACACGTGACAATAGTAGACTATACCGTGTGACAGTCACATTGTCACTGACTGTGTGAGTATTATTATATAACACGCGTGAGACCGTGTGACAGTCACATTGTCACTGACTGTGTGAGTATTATTATATAACACACGTGACAATAGTAGACTATACCGTGTGACAGTCACATTGTCACTGACTGTGTGAGTATTATTATATAACACGCGTGACAATAGTAGACAATACCGTGTGACAGTCACATTGTCACTGACTGTGTGAGTATTATTATATAACACGCGTGAGACCGTGTGACAGTCACATTGTCACTGACTGTGTGAGTATTATTATATAACACGCGTGACAATAGTTGACTATATCGTGTGACAGTCACATTGTCACTGACTGTGTGAGTATTATTATATAACAC